GTCAGTCACACTCTCTCTCCTCTCTCTCGCTTCGTTCAGGACGCATGCGGGAGATGGCGTACTGATCCCCGTGTCTCGCTCGCACGCGTCGCTCACACTCTCTCTTCTCTCTCTCGCTTCGTTCAGGACGCATGCGGAGATGGCGTACTGATCCCCGTGTCTCGCTCGCACGCGTCGCTAACACTCTCTCTCCTCTCTCTCGCTTCCTTCGTTCAGGACGCATGCGGAGATGGCGTACTGATCCCCGTGTCTCGCTCGCACGCGTCGCTAACACTCTCTCTCCTCTCTCTCGCTTCCTTCGTTCAGGACGCAGGCGGAGATGGCTCACACGTGTCGCGGCACCGTCTCGCTGCACGGCGCCTTCATCCACACGGAGGACACGTGCAACTTTACCATCTCCAACGGCGGCACGCAGACGTTCCACCTGAAGGCGAGCACGGAGGTCGAGCGTCAGCGATGGGTCACCGCGCTCGAGCTCGCCAAGGCCAAGGCCATACGCATGATGGAGGAAGGTGGGTGTCGCTGGGTGACGATGGGTCCGGACATATTGGCGGCGGGGGGAGGCGGGGGACGTCGCCGGTTTGGCTCCGACATTGGGCGGGGGAGGGGACGGTGTCGACGGGGGTTTTCGACAATTGGGGGGGGGAGGGGACGTCGCCGGGCCTCCGAACATTGGAGGCGGCCGGGGGAGTACCGGGGACGCTCGCCGGGGTTCGACATGAGCGGGGGAGGGGGACATCGCCGGGTCTCCGACACGGGGCGGGGGAGGGGGACGTCGCCGGGGGCTCCAACATGGGACGGGGAGGGGAGCAGGGGCGTCGCGGGGGTTCCGACATGCGGGCAGGGGCGTGGACAGTGCCGGGGGCGGGGTTCCAACAGGGCGGGGCGAGTGGGGACGGGCGCCGGGGATTCCCGACACAGGGTGGGGGAGGGGGACGTCGCGGGGGCTCCAACAGGGTGCGGGGGGGGGGACATTCGCGGGGGTCCAAACAGCGGGCGGCGGGAGCCGGGGACGTCCGCGGGGGTTCCGACATGGGGCGGGGGGATGGGGGGACATCGCCGGGGGTTCAACAGGGGCGGGGCGAGGGCGACTTGTCGCCGGGGGCTCGACATGAGGTGTGGGGAGGGGGGACGTCGCGGCGGTTCGCGACACAGGTGTGAGGGGAAGGGGGACGTCGACCGGGTGCGACGGCGGCGGGGGGAGGGGGGACTTTGATTTTGAATTCTATTTTGATTTTGATTTTGATTTTGATTTTGATTTTGTTTTGATTTTGAGTTTGAATTTGATTTTGATTTAGATTTTGATTTAGATTTCGTTTTTAATTTGATTTTGATTTCGTTTTTTTAATTTTTTTAATTTGCTTTTATTTATTTCAGAGGTAAAATTGTAGTGGCAGCCCTCGGCCACCATACATGTCTGCATGTGCTACTGCATGATGAGTCAGATATCACAGTCACGCTTGTAAGTTATAGCTGACAATAACGTGTAATAACGGTAGTGCATGCACATGTCTGCAAGCAGGATTTATTTTGGAATTTGACCAACCTTGTACAAACATTTGCAGAATAATTCACACCAAGTACTAGCCGATGTACAGTACCTGGTACAAGCAATCTAATTGAAAGGGAGACTGTAACATAGCATTAACCATTATCTTTCACTGAATTAAGATGGAATCATTAGCGAAAAAAACTGATCGATTGCTCGAAAAGAACTGCTTTTTATGCACAATATTAGCACTTCTTAACAGCATCCGACATTCATTCTTAATTATGGTAAATGTATCAGAGCACATGTGCACTAGAATGAGTAACGATAAAGATAATGTAATTTTCATAATCAACTACACATTTCAAAGATCAAATTGCACCAATAGTCCCATACTAGCCATCACACATTGATTCAAATGAACATGCCCAATCCCTGACGTAATCAAATTCTTCAGTGAGGAATCTACAATGCCAATCCGTTTAAGAATTTCAGTGCAAGGCTATTCTTAGCAACACATCGAGTCATTGTCGTAGAAAGCATTGTGCATAGAGAACCGAGCTACCTCACATTGTGAAAGCCTTTCACCGTGCATGAAGTATCCTACTTCTATGTCAGAACCTCTAAGAAGCAATTAAAGGTTTACATGTGGCACATGAGCTACGTATTGATCAGAGCCGCCTAGTGTTCATGTTAAGTATCCATAAGAGGCCTCATGCACTCAAGTCAAACTCTTAGAATTAGAAATTGAACTATGTTATAACGGATACTTACGACCATTAACTGTTAATGACATACGTGGAAATGTCAAAATATCATCAGAAGAGTTTGTTCCTTAAATATTGATTTTTCTCTGAGTAAAAATGTTACAAAAATCTTTAAAAAAGGCATATATCGCTTTTTCAAACATCAGTAGTCTAATTTTAGACCTGTATTGATGAATTTTATACAAGACAGAAGTTGCATAGAGAATATTTAATGCTCCATAAAAGAATGACAGTGCAGTTTTAGTTTAGGTCCTTTCTATTCATTATAGACAAAAATTATAATTTTATACATATTAAACACGATAAATAATTTAGCCTCACACATCCTTACAACTCTCCGCTTCCTTCCCTGTTCTAGATAGATGTTCATGGAAAAGGGTTGAATGGACTTGAATCACACATGCACGTGATCGCGAAGGTAAAGATTTTGGTGAAGTCGAATACAATTCGTCCTGATTGGGGTCTGTGCCTGTATTATGTATATACTAGCACTGTAGATTATAATATTCCATGCGGAAATGCTATCGTTACGAGGTATGTCATCGTCAGCACTTACAACCGGGCATGCTGTACCATCTACTGATTAAATGGGCTGCTGACGAGTTTACACAAAAGAGAGAGTGTGAGCGACGCGTGCGAGCGAGACACGGGGATCACCACAGGCATCCGTCGCCTCACACGGGTAAAGGGCTTCCCTGTTTCAGACACGACCCAGATAAGTCTCTACGTGTCGCAAAAACAGCCGCCTGGGCACGTATCAAATGCAATCTATACACACTTCAAACACTGGCCACATGTCTCAGATACAGCCTATACATGTCTCAAATACAGTCTCTACATGTCTCAGATACAGCCTCTGCATGTCTCAGATAGTCTCTACACGTCTCAAATACAGTCTCCACATGTCTTATATATACAAACCCTCAACGTCTCAGATAGTCTCTACATGTCTCAGATACAGCCTCTACATGCCTCAATCAAATACAGTCTCCACATGTCTTATATACAACCCCTCAATGTCTCAGATACAGTCTCTAGATGCGCCAGACGATCTCTACGTGTCTCACGGACTCTGAACAACTCAGACACAGCCTCCGCACGCCCCAGACGTTAGAATAGATTCGACCACAACTAACTATCCAATAGCGGCAAACGCCTGCGAATCAATCAGTCAATGGGCGAGCACACATGCTAGCTGGGGAAGCTCGCGTCACGTGCTTCACTACTGACTGATCACATGCCTGAACGCCCAACCCGAACGAGCGGGGAAAAACTAACGAAAGCTACTAATGAGACACACGTACTGGTCTCATGACTCAATCCACGCGACTTTATCACACGACTTCATCACAACTAGATCACACGACTTCAGACGAGTTTTTGCCACTGGCAGCAAGAACCACTCCGCTGCAGCTACAGCACACACACGGCCTTTGTCTATATATAACATCTATATAACATATAACATATAACATATGTAACATGTGCACTATATGGAATTAGTTACGCAGTGTAACATATGCACTATATAACATATATATAACATGTTATATATATGGCGACATATATAACATATATATATAACATATATATGACAAAGGCCGTGTGTGTGCTGTAGCTGCAGCGGAGTGGTTCTTGCTGCCAGTGGTTTTTGCCAGTCACCCAACCCTCTTGTTCACACTTTTTATTTTGCACAAAGTCGAACCGGAATACTGCAAATAGCGAGTCGTACGTAACACCTTCACGACTACACTCCGTATCCACGAAGTTACGCAAAAACAACACGCGCTTTATCGCTAAAACTTCGTTCACACGCGCGAAGGCAGTAGTTAGACAACAGCTCGAGTAACACGCAGCCCACATCGTCACCTGCGCCACGTTCATGAATCTCACGTGGGTATATCTCACATGCTAGCACATTGTGTGAGATTCGTTGGCAAGATTCCACAGAACAGCTACTCTAATGGAGCGATGCACTTGCGGAATACGACGCTAATGAGAACTGCTCACACACACGACGAAGGCGCTGCATAATGTTGAGAAAGGAACCCCTCCCAAACCTCCACCTATACAAGTGTAGCGATCCCTCTCAGTGTTAATTGCGATTTTAAATCTCGTCCGATAATTAATGCACAGAATTAAAGATGTCAAACTTCAAGTGTTCTCGTTTTCTCGTGTCATAATAATAATATAGAGCAGAATCTATATTGTGACACTCCAGGCTGTGTGGCACGAAGTCTGATCCTAGCGGTTTCCAGCCGATATGAATGGAACTAGTTCACGTGCTAGTCATAAAGTCATAAAAAATTAATGGCTGTTAACTCTCGAATGTTAAATGTTAATAATAATAACTGAATGCTATAAACTTAACTCGGCAGGAAACGCATTTGATGCAAAACCTTTTTAGTCAGTTTATAGCGATATTAAACTAAATTTTACATTTTGTTCATGAACGCATAGACGACTTGTACTTCCGGAGTGTTCTAAAAAATAGGAAAAACGGCAAGGGAAACACGAAAAGACTCCTTTTATAGACTGACATCCGTTGTATAGAAGCGAACTGCTACATAACTGCCACTCAATGAAAATGCTAAAAGTTGTCCTTTATGGACACGCACCCGTTTTATAGAGTGATTGACTGTGTAACTGCCACTAGTGACTAGAGGGACACGATAAAAGTATCGCTTATCGTCGGGGTGGTTCTATAGAACGGTCCACTGAGATTTTATGGTACCATCTTCGATTCTTCAACATTATTATTATTATGAAGCCTAGTACCAGAAGAACGATCAGTCCAATGATGCATGCAAGCAATGAATCCAGACAGACAGTGAAACAAAATAATCGATTTTGGCTCAGCCTACTTTATGGGCACATAAATAAATGCTTCATTAGTCCTGGCACATTTTGGCTTTATGGATGAGATGCCATTTGTTCGCAAAGCCAACACGATTGGTTTAACGTGAAATTTGAAGCCACTTGATGTGTGTTTGCTGACGACGCTTAGCCAGAATGCAGGCTAAACCTTCCAACATCATGTGACATTCAGACAGAAACATATATATATATAAGCATAACGTGTTCTGATGGCAACTGTCATCACATCTCTTGCATATTATCAGGAGTAAACCTTCAAAAGATAGTACTGATCATTAAAGATCAGTAGCAGAAAATGAAAAAGCATTTATTGATTACTCCTGGAGACTCTGCATCTATACTAACGACAAAGCAGTCTCATTACAAAATGTTTCCGGATATTGGACAAAGATTAATCTTGCTCTAGAAAACTTTAGAGATTTGCAGAAAATATGGCAGATCAGTTTCTATCAGAAATTAAATACCCTTATCATGGGCCTGTAGTGATAAAATGGCAAATCCATTCATTAATAACTGCAAACCATGTGCCAACACTAACTATGAGACATTCCAATAGCACAATACATCCTGTGACTTGGAGAGGTCTAGAGACCATGAAGGACTGCAGTCGAAATTTCCAAACCAATGACAAACCAAGGACAAACCAAAGATGATGCCTTCTTGATAGACATTGATGATAACATGTGCATAAGTAACATCATATCAAATCTGATATCATCTCATTCGCAATATATATGTATATATAGGCCTACAGCTTCTAGGAAAACTTTTGTGGCATTGCCGATTGTACATTCAAAACCCAGACGATATTGATGTTCCAAGAATATATATATATTTATAACATACTAGGATTACTAGTTGATGAGCTTAGCCAGACCATAGCCAAAAGCTAGCTGCCATAGGCAAATAAAGTCTTATACTACTTTCACGAAACCTAAAAACCCTTTTGATTAATGGTGCTGCCCATTCCAACGAACCAACATCTTAGCCTCATTATTCTCTTTACTTTTTCCGCATTTTATGCCCCCCCCCCCGTGCAGCATAGGCCATAGGGCCTCAGCAACTGTATCCCCTCAATTTCTGTGAGTGTCGTGCGCGGAGAGCGACGGCTCGCACTCAGGCTAATGTACACACCTTCCAATCTCATCATCGCTACAATTACAGCCGAGGGTGGACGATTGTGGACGAGCTTCTTATAAAAGATGAGCCATGCAACACACATTGGAAAGGTGGGCAGCGCGTAATATCAGGAGTGTATAATATAGAGATAGTAGTTGACAGTAGCGCTATATTTATACACTCCTGATAATATCAAGAGCTAATAATACCTAGCTAATAAGAGGTATTATTAGCTCTTGATAACATCTGGCTCGATGGTGCAGCGTAAACCGTTTGATTCCGCTGCGCGACATAATTTTTGTGGAGGGTGGCATCATGGCATGGCGTGACCTCTCCTGCGCATGCACGGTAAGACACGATCCAGTAGGGTGGGTGAAGCGTTGACCCCCGAAATCGGCGCAGATGAATGATTGTTGCGGATATTTCACGTAATCGAGTGCCAGCTGCTATTCTTATGAACTCTCTCTCTCTCTCTCTCTCTCTCATAAACACCTACTCAGGAATCTCACAGGCTGAAAAGAGCCAGGCATGTACCGTGCCTAATTGAAAGCGCTCCACATTACAGTGTGGCAGCCCAGCTTTTCCTGTGTAGGAACTACATTTCCTGTTGCATAGCGCACGTGATGTTTCTACATTAATAAGTGCTGCGTTAGGCTGCACATGCTGGCATGATGTGCCAGATTCCTTACATACAGATGTATGCCCGTGCTGCTATTGCATACATATCAGGAGTAGATAAAGGGAAGGAGTGTGACTCCAATAAACAAGGGAAATTCGTCATTTACTAGCCTTATAATACCTACGATTTACTACGATAGGACGTTCCCGCGGTCGCGTGCGCCTTGCCGCAGAACTGCGCGCAAGATCTGCGCTTAGCGCTTCGGAACAACACCTTTCGGCAACGCTTCTCTAGTATCCCGTCTCATCTGGCTGCGAGTCACCAACACTAACACTAACAGTAACACTAACAGTAACAGGTGGCGCTAGAAATAACACAGGGTAATGAAGTAATCTAGCTCTGCTTAGAAGCTGACTGGTGTTATTAACTGTTAGGATTACTAGCACGATTTAGGTTTAGTTAAATAACTAGGCCTAGCTGTGGCTAATTAGTTATTCAAAGATTGCAACTCGAAAATTATCATGTTTTAACGCTTATTCGTGGTCTCACCTGTAGTAAGATAGTAGTCCATTTGACAGCACAAACCATCGCTTTTGGTAACCTTTCAAGTAGTTGGTCCATTTATACAACCAACCCTTAAATTCAGGCTCTCCATGTATATGTTTTACATCCACCACTGCAGACATTTGATTGACAAATTGAGAAAGAAAACAGCTTTTGGAGAACAGAGTTAACGTGTTTCACATCATGGATTCATGTCGTCACCTCTGGCCGATAGATGTCGCGAATTGTAGACAGAGATCAGCACAACCTGGCGGGAAAGGTATGTTGAGGAAATTAACGTAGAAACGTGGAAACAAACACTTGCGATTTTACAATAGAAACACCGGAAAATCATGTGTGCATGTATGTTGAATGTTATAACTATAACTATAAGTGTATTTTATTTTAAAAGCGCGTTACTTATGACAGTCATTTGGTTCTGCTACTGATAGCGAAGTGGACACCGGCTCACGGGGGGGGGGGCTCTCTGAGTCTCTGTCTCTGACTGCGAGCAATGAATGACTCAATGATTTATGAGGTTGTGAAGCCCGTGGAAGGGGATCCAGATGAGACGGGATACTAGAGAAGCGTTGCCGAAAGGAGGTGTTTATCCGAAGTGCTGCGCGATCTTGCGCGCAGTTCCTCGGCAAGGCGCACGCGACCGCGGAAAATTCCTACGACAGTATGCAGCGCTGGCAGCTATGGATCCGTGCGCCGAATGCATAGGCCGCGCACGAATCCATAGCTGCCAGCGAACAGTCCGCAATTTTAGTGGGGGACACAGAGGGCACACATTTGGAACGTGAACAGTGTTCACTTGTTATAAAAA